TTGAATGCATAAGCATTTTGCACCTTTAACTAGTCCTGTAGACCTTACAGCCATCAAATCGAGAGCTTATATAGCTAGGCCTCTATGGTTTTCTTCAACAATAATATCACACTGCTCAATCTGGACTATCAAAAGAATTAAAATGTGCTTCCGATCAAAATGAAGGAGGTTGGTGAAATTGGTTGCAGAATCCCGCAGCACTGTGGACATGGAAAGGGGTGACTTGCATACACTGGTCCTTACATATAAGAACATAACAACATAGATGTGATCTTGGGCTTCCAATGCACCATAGAATTTTACTAGCTTGTGGGAAAACGAGGCTAGTGGCTTAGTCATCTTCAATATGATGTTAGTTACCATTGCCATTGTGGTCAACTCCAAGAATATGACAAATAATGCAATAAAAGTTTCAAGAGCCCATATGTAACTTGTAGCGTTAAAATTAAGTTGAGTTGAACTATAACATCATCAGTGCTGACAGATGACAAGTACCGAAGTGCCCATCGTGGTTAAAAATAATAATAATAATAAGAGCAAAAATAATGGTGTGCATGTAAGGCATGATAAAGATCCAAAACATAGGGTAAAAATTCAGCAGGGATGTTGACTGGCACCTTCACAATAATTTGGCGAGATGGATCATGCTAACAATTGACAAATGGGAAAATGATAATTAAGGATTCCATAGTACCATTAATTGTAATTAGGGATTATGAATTATTAAAATATCAATAATAGACTATAATCCTTATTTAGAATTAAAAATATAACAATTTAAAATTAAGAAAATATGCTATTAGAATTACTATTATGAATTAGGACTATTGTAAATTGTAATTGAGAAAATTAGAAATCACACTTGAAAATGGGTTGTTTTTTAATATGAAATTAAAATTTATTTGTAGAATTTTCAAAAGGCACTTGTGAACATACAATAATCATTTAAAAATTATCAAAATTATTTCTGAATATAAAGTTAACTATTTATAAATTTTTATACTTGTCAATATATAGGTAAATCACTTGAAAAATTAAGAAAAGATGTTATTGAAATTATTATTATTATTATAAATTAAAACCATTGTTAATTTTAGTTGAAAAACCTAAAATCCCAAATGTCATGGATTAGGATTATTTAAATTATTATTATAGATTGGGACTATTATGAATCCCATTTTCAAATGTGGATCTTAGTTTTTTCAACTGATATTAACAATACTCTCAACCCATAATAATAATTTTAATAATATCTTTTCTTAATTTAAACTCATATATTTTTAATTTCAAATAAGTACGTTGATCCATTTTTGAAATTTTAATAATTTAGAGTTCCTAATTATAATTTCTCCTTGACAAATTGAAGAAAGTGTTGGTTGGCAACAGTGGAACTCATCCATTTGCACCATATAATAGTAACAGAAATACATGAACCCAAGAATGCAGATTCAGAAGCAATTTTTTTTCATGTGGCCACCATGTATAGTGCCTGCAATCATGAAGACCTTCAAACCGATGTAAACTTAATGCATATTCACAGAATCCACCAAGACCGGTCTAGATTGTAAGGAATTAAGTAAGGTAAGAAGACCAAAGCAGTGCAAAGTGGTGGCTTCAAATAAAACGCCAAATACCCTTAGCAACTCCCTGGTCAAAAACAAAAATAAAAAAGGGAAGCAAGGATGGAAAGCGAATAATTGGGGCATAAAATGGACTGAACCAATTGATCAAACACTTAGGATGCGTGTCAAGAAGGAAGCCATGATAGGAAGATTGCGCAATTGTAGATTCCAAGTTACTGTTTCTGACATAAACCCCAAAATGAAAGGATAAAGAGAAAGGAATGGAGCCAAAAATGTTAGAACAATTGAAAGCTCTAACTACAGAAGTAGAAATAAAAGGAAACTCGATTAAGCCATTGGCTTCTCTGAATGCACGTAGTGTTGTCTCGATGGGGGCTAGAGTCACTAAACAATAAAAAGGATGGAGAGGAGGAGGCTCACCAGTAGAAGTGGCATAAAAAGATGGATAAACTATGAGTGATTTCATTTGACGACAGGAACAGATGAAACTGTTGAACAAGGCATCCTATGTGAGATCATCGATGGTTGTATCGAATACCAATAACCTTGGAAAATATTGGTCGATGGAGGCCTTCATAATAATGAAGAGTTGGCTGGTGGGATAGGGAATTTTGGTAGACCCGAATTGGGCTTTCTTGGCTTGGACTTCAATATTCCCATTAAAGGAAAGGTATTCAAGATTGACTCGTTGCCCTGGGAAGGAAAGGTTCACTAGTGGTGGAGGAACAAGTGAGTCCGGGCTGTGAATCTGTGAGCTCACTGGTAATGTAGTAACTACGGCAATATCCGAACTCACATCTTCAATTTGTTTCGTAATAGTCTGAAGAGACGGCTCCAAACGTCCAAACGAGCATGGATGATAGCATCTTGTCCTTTCATCTTATCAGCCAATTGTTGGATCGCAGCTTCTAGCTCATCAAGTTCAACATCATCAAATTCGTTCGCCATTGGGCGGGAGATTCAATGAAAGCACCAAATTAATATTAAACCAGTTCATTATAGTTATCAATTGCTAGCTACTTCCAGCAACTCATAATAGTGTCTTTGAAAATCCGTTCCAAATTATAAGATTACTTAACAAAATTTTTATCCCAATATATTAAGATTATCTGAGAAGAATAAGATTTTATTAATAATATTTTTTTAATATTATTCTTCAAGTAAAGAGAGAATTAAAATGATATTGTAATGTAATAATTAAATGCGCATGAATACTTTTGAAAGTTTATAATTTTGTTTTGAAAAAATTTGTAAAATGTTATTATTATATTTTATTAGCATACATAATTTTATCTAAGATTGTCTTACAATTTAGGATGTGAAATTGATCATCAATTGAAATGTTAGTTCGACCCTTTTTAGTCAAGTGTCCACATTCAGTATTCATAATTAAGCGCTCATCACGTGTGGCCAAATTGTGCCCTTTTATTTTACTCTAAAATGATCCATGCCATTCATTTTAAATTAATTTTTAAATATTATATTTATTCATATAAAAATTATAAAAAAAAATTGATGTTAAATTTAAAGTATTTAGAGCACATCTAGATGGTATGTAAAAAATATAAAAATTTTAATATTAAACTAAGTCATCCAATTTACACTTGAACCATCTAGAACATATTTAGATAGTCAAGTTATAAAAATTATAAAAAATTTTAATATTAAATTAAACATTTAAGATTAAATCTGCATTGGCCAGCTTGGTAATAAACAAATTGATTAAAAAAATTTATCTTGATAATTGTAATTAAAGAAAAAAAATTAAATTTAAATAGTCTAAATCTCATCGGAGATGATAAGTACCATAGTGTTCATTATTCGATGAGCACAAAAGACAGTCCAAATTTAATATTAATTTTTTTTTATAATTTTTGTATTAATAAAAATAATATTTAAAATATTTTAAAATTAATTTAAAATGAACAGAAAAGTTTATTTTAAAATAAAATAAAAGGTCATAATTTGGCCACGTCTTGGTGAGCACTCGTGCACCAAATGCGAACGCTCTAGTTAGAGACGAGCTAAACAATAATCCATGATGCAATGAAACTAATCCTAGCTTAATATGGGCCAGAGGTGAGCCCACGACTAGTTTAAAATTACTGAATCCTTCTCCTGCTGGACAATTTTAAAATTCAAGATTTAAAATATCGTTGCTCGAGAATCCGCGTGGGAGTCTCGTATTGAGGAATGCCCCTAATGCTGAAACGCTACAAAATACAAGCCCAAAACTATACAACTTGTATATCTGCATATCTGCTTCCCTACTGTAGGGCTTGCTCTGGGTACAATGGAATGCGTGTTTTTAACAAGGCCGAAGCAAATTCATATGCTTTGGGCATTTGAAAACTGAAAAGGCCGAAGCCAGGTCAAAAGTTACCGTACAAAAACGGGAGTTCAATGATATCCTTGGGAAACAGAATCTCACAAGTGAAATCAGGCTAGGACGATTAGCTACAACTTAAAGGAAAGCGCTTTGGCACGGCAAACGTAAAAAATATAACTGACTGTTTAAGGAAAACCGCCAACCAATTAACTTTTCCAATCAACAGCTCCAAACAAAAATTGCAAATACCTGCACTGACATGGGTCAGATGTAATTAGAAACCAACATGGTAAGTCATTTGAAAATGCGCAGTAATTGAAAGTAAGGAGAATGCTAAGATTTCTGAGCCAACGAAAATGCACGACTTAAGCAATAACATGCATGTTACATTGTCACCAACATGTTATGCCATTAAAGGGTGCTATCGCGCTATAATCCAAAAGCGTTGATCTAGTATCTAAGTAAAAGCATGCTCCTATTAAACCAATCACTTGAAATCACGGGTTTAAGCTTCCAAAAGCATCTCACTGTTCTAGCAAATGCCAACCTCAATAGGAAAAGCCAATTTGATCACGTTTTAGTATGCATGGCATGACATTTCTTTTAATGATGCATGCCTTCACCTCAGAGTAATAATACACGTTCTGCAGACACATCTAGTCTAATGAAGAAAACCTCTATGCTTGCACTCAACCCGTCCACCTCAACCAATCATGCCTTGCACTACATTGAAGAATATAATGTTATGATATTTTACAATTATCGGTCCAAAATGACACTTTCATCAAAGTATCACTGAGTAAGACCACGGCAAAAGAGCCCAGCCGTTAAACAAGAACAAAAAATAATCACCCTCTATTTTGTTTTATTTTTCCTGGCTAGATATAAAAGTATAACAACTAATACCAGTGCATATAATAGAAGATTAAATGAACTAATATTTGATTTTAAGCATTCTATATGATAATTAATTTATTCAAAAAAAATTCTGAATATAAAGTCAAAACTTACTTTATTAAATAACTAATTAACGAGAAGTTTCCTTATAACTACAAGTTATTTATTACATCTTTGAACAAAAGCTAATATTACTTTATTAGTATTCTCTACATTATCTCAAAAATATATTATCTGAACTTAACAACTTACAAGTCACAACACATAGAGATCCATTTATTATTGTCATCTATGAATTGCATTTTTCCATATAATACAAGAAAGCCCAATTAATACATTAATATTGCACAAGTACATGAGAAGTATGTTTAATACGCATGCATAACGGCTAATGCCTCTTCTCCCTCACGCACTGGGTTGTGGGTACCATCCCAGATTCGAAACTCATTCCAATCCTTTAAAAAGCCGCGTAGCTGTGGTTGGTCATTCCAATGCATGCACAAGCCAAAACTAGTTGAAGAGCTAGTGCAAATTTGCTCTATGTCAAATTAAACATCAAAGAAACATGATAGGTAAGTTGCAAAAATGGCTATCATCATGTTGGTCTTCGTTGCATAACTTCCTTTCTTTGAAGATCACATTTCATTTAATTAAATTCAGAAGGTAAATTAGCTTTATCTATCTAATTATACCCAGAAAAAAAAAACAAGCAAAAAGGCAATGGAACTAAGACACATGATTACCAGTCTTCTGTGAACCTTCTATATGATAAGCTCATCTTCAAGATAATTATACTCAAAAGTGAACTCGGTCTTAATTCTTTGACACCTGACACACCAAAACAGAGAAAAGTCACAAGACAGAATGCACCAACGTCATTGTGATCGAGATCTTACATAGAATCAGCAAGGGGAAAAATTAGTTTATATAAAATAATCAAGTTTAGGGAACTCTTTGAAATCAGGTCTCATATATCTGCCCCAGCTAAGTAAAGCCCAAACATCAAACGATAAAGCAGTAAGGCAATTGAATATCCCTCGGAGAGTTTGGCATGCTAATGTATAATAGAATTTCAACTGTGGTGACTGGCAAATAAGACTCACATTTCATCAATGGGTAATGGTGGAGTCTTTTGAACGTACTAAATCCTCTACAAGTAGTAGTTATCAATACTAGCCAGATATCTGATACCATTAATAATGTATGCATTTCTTTACAAAGACTTACTCGGTCTGTGAATAACTTCTAATATTATATATTAAAAAAGCACAAGATTTTTTTCCACTGACAGTACCTACCAGCAAGCATAGGATGCCACCAGTTTAAAAGACTAAAAAACCTCACTACAGGTTAACAATGCAGCATTTTTTTGGCTGCTGATAAAGAATCAATAGTTACAGGTCTTCAGCATTTCTCTTCTCATAGGTCTTTCACACCATTTGCCAAATAGATATAGGTCCCCCAAACTCAAATCTAAAATCTATTAATTTTGTGAACTTGTTATTTCGATCACACTCAATTTATAAGTAGTCTAAAATTTTTAACAAGCCACACTATTCATGAGCCATAAATTATGGTTCATTTTTCAGACATCATGCAACAAATGCAACCCATACTAGTTATCCTTAAAAAATTGTAGTAATCTTTGATCTTTCTAAAAAGTGACACTAGTAGCTAGTAGGGGTGGAAATAAGTTAGGTTAAGCTAGGCTTTGGCCAAATAGGCTTAACTTGTGTGGTAGATTAGAAGCCTCAACCTGGCTTGAAGCCTGTGTAAGGCTTCCTTTTACAGCTAAAGCCTAAGCTTACCCAAAGCTTAGTTTGGTTTGAAAGCCTATTCAAAAGCCTATTTAAATAGGTCTCCAATAGATTTTAGGACTATTTAAAGTCCACATATGCACAACCAAATATACCAACCACAATATATAATAAGCAAGACTTACCAACTACAATAAAATACAACAATATAGTAAAAACATTGAAATCAATATATAAGTCCAATCTAATTGAAAATATAACCAAGAACATAGGCAAGGAAGAGCTTGTCTAGTTCTTTCAAGTTTCAATTTGAAGAAAGAACGAGAAAAAAAGGGGTGGAGTCAATTATTTCATAATTCCTAAATTAAATATCATATACATATTATATTACATATTATATATATGTAATATATTATATAATAATATATACATACATAGGCTAGTTTATAAAGTTTGTGGGCCTAGCCTATTTACTTAAATCAAAGGCTTGAACTTGGGTTAACCTATTTAGTAAATAGGTCGGGCCAGGCTGTAAGCCCCTGATAGGCTGCCTCGCCTACTTTCACTGCAGACACCAATCTACATAATAAGGGAAAATAATTATGACTGCAAACAAAAGAAAATGAAGATCTACTCAACGTACCACCCATGTTGTAGGTCATCGTTTGCAACATAGAAATCAAAGTATACATATGTTCCTTTCTCATATTCATCTGTAGCAACTTTTGGCTCTTCATGTCGCTGAAACCAAGTATTATATTTTCTGTGATACCTCCAAGACTGCTTCTTTAGCTCTTTTGCAGCCAAATATTGTTGATATGTATCCTGCAGCAAGTAAAGATGTTAGCTCAAATGACTGACTGAAGATATAATACTTATCAGTAAGCACACAAGAGGTAAAGTTACCTGCTGATAATAGAATGCAAAAAACAAGGTATCAGTTCCATATGGTTCAAGCCCTACTCTCTCCCAAAAAGCAGGATTATTGACAATGGGCGCTTGTACTTGAGGATAACTGGGAGGTGTTATTGTTGGATGCCTCTGCAGAATGAGAAAAGGAAAAGTGATCACGTAAACATAACATAGAACATAGAACCAACAAGACGATATGTATGCCAAAGCATACAGGAGTATAAGTCCTTGGGCGTTCTGAATCTTTAGGTTGCGGAAGTTTGTAGTAAGCGGCCCCAAGCATCTGTAAATCATGTAACTGATCACGCATTCCACCAGAATTAACACTTGATCCACTAAAGTTATCACCAATGGCTCCAAGGTCAGCACCAATTCTCCTTCCAATGACACCAAGGTTACCAGTAAGTTGATTGGATTGTAAAGGCTGGCCAGGAGACAAGTCAGTATCTCTGGAGGTATGAGCAGGCTCTGTTGGGAGAGAGCCATATAATCCTGCCTGCACGTCCATTAAAGAATAATTTCCAACTCACATAATTCATCACTAGATATAAATTTTCACATTATTTCATTCTTTGGGGTCATGTTCCACTGTCCACACAACACATACAAACATACACAGATAAAAAATATAAATATTTCAGAAAATAAAGCACAATCAAGTTTAAGTCTATTCAACTCATAAGATCATACATTGCCAAGCAGATTGCATCTATAATAATTTGTTCACCTCTTAACCATGAAATGGGAAAAAGTGGATGATAGAAATTGGCCAGATTTTCATGCGGTCTGTCAGTTAATTTCAACTATATTTACATATTTTGCATAACAAGACATACATGTCATAAGGTAGACATTAATTAAGATCCCATAGTTTAGTCAATTTTCAATGTCTTCCTGGTCAAAATGTTAAAACCTTTAAATATTAGGTCCCATTTGGTTACTAGAAAAGAATGAAATGGATTGAAAAAAATTAAGATAAAAATGAACTAAATCACACTTCCCCTCATAATAAACATAATAAAACTCATTAACATATACTATAAATGTGGGAATCATCACATCCTTTAAAAATCTCATAAATTATGATTTCCAACTTCATAAACTAAATTGTCCCTTCCCCTTATGAATGTATTCACCTATCCCTTTTGGTCATCTCATTTTTACCTTTAGTTTTTCAATCCATTCTATTCCATTTTATTTTAGTAAGCAAACATGACCTTAGTCATTCTTGGGTAAAACATCCAGAACCGGTCAATACAAGCTCTGATGCAATAGAAGAATAAGGCAAGCAAAAGGCATTTTTTTAGAACACACACTAAGAGAACAAAACGAACAAAAAAGCATATTTCTGCATTTTATAATGGAAAACGATAAGAGAATGTTTCTTCAAGAATATAATGGGTAGGAGTTAGTCAACATACCGGAGAATCAGCAGCATATGTGGATTTCAAATCATCTTCATTTATAAGATTCTTGCCAAGCCCAGCATTAGCAGTAGATTCAGTTACTCCCTCATCAGGAAAATTCAGTTGTTGCTGTTGATCTTCAACCACAGAATTTCCAATGTCTGCAGAAGCAAATATCATTATATACCCAATATAAACTCTCCGAGGAGAAAAATAATACTCTCACCACCATCCCACCCAAGAAAAGAATTACATATTGAGACTAGAGAAGAAGCGCAACAACTAATCATTTAATCCAAATGAAAGGGGCAGAAATATTCAACAAAAAAACTAATGGCAATTATGAGCACCATGAACCTTACCAGCATCTTTAGAAACACCTGCAATCAACTGCTGCGGGTTAGATGGGGAATTTATCGAATTAGGTGTCAGCTGAAGTGTGGTAGATGGAATGCTACTGAAACCTGGTGCCTGGGTTCCCAGTCCAAGACCAGATTGAGAGGAAATAGAAGAGCCCTGGGAGCTAAACTGAACAAGTAGTAGAATGTCATATACTGTTTAACAGAATTAACAGTTAAGCAGAATATGTTAAGTTGCAGAAAAGAGTACACAAAGAAGGGGGCAAATAGAAAACTCCACAAATAGTACATGCTGCAATGGATCCTACTATAGTAATATAAGGCTAGACAGAACTTTTACTCACAGATATTAATATCATAATCTAAGCAGAAGTTGCCTTCATAGTTCAATATATTTTCCTATTCCTAGATACATGCAATAATTCAACCACAGAAACATATGACCAAGATATAAATTAAATTAATTAAAAAAAATTCAGGACCATTTTCCACATTTCCCCAAAACTTCCAGTTTTGTTTGCAATGGAATCAAAGATGGATAATAAAATAAAAAATTCAATAATAGTTTTACTTGTGATAACAAAAAGGCATAAAGTAACAAGTGAAAAGGCATATGAAAAAGTATTTTACAAAAGATACTCAAGGGAACAATAAGTATGACAGCAAGCTCTGTCCAAACAACTCTGAAATCTCCAAGATCTGAAAAAAAATAGGCACAAACTTGGCAACAAATTAGTGCCATGAATTACAATTTATTTTTCAAACCACAATTATCAAACTAGTAAGCAATCATGAATAACACAACATATAAGAAAAACGGCAAGGAAGAAAGAGAATATTATGTTAAGCATTCTGACCTATAGTGAAATTTTCAGAAGTAAATGAACATTAAGTACAACCCAAATTTCAGGTACAATGAGTACCTGCTGCAATAGAGGGTTTTGCTGCTGCACAGGAAATTGCTTTTGATTCCCTCCACCAAGAGAAGGCATCCCAAGAAGGGTATTGTGCCCTTGTTGCTGAACTTGCTGAAACTTCTGCAAAAATTTCTCTCTTTGATCAGGAGTTATTTCAGTTCTTCCTCGAAGCTGCCCCTGAAAATAAATATCAATCAACTCCTTGTAGTATAGGTTCAACATTAAAAAATAAAATAATATAACCAACCACAGAGGATATTGAACAGTACTGTCACGTGTTTCTTGGAATGCACTAATACCTTGCTTCAATTCCCAATACACAAGCCAGAATGATGCCCAGCAAGATACAACTCATTAAACCCATCAAATTCAAAAAGGAGAGGAAATTGTTTGAAGTGTTTTCAAATAGGATGAGCAACTGATAATAAAATGTGTTTAATAACCAACAAGTGTAGGTAAGTATGCCCACACCTATGGATCAATTTTCTATGAGAATACAAGCACAGATCATAAAATCTTATGAACATACAAAAAATGAATGTATACAAAGCAAGAGCAAGGGTCACCTATGAGTGAAATGTCACAAAGCTGACTAATTGACCATAAAAAAGGACATAAATTTAAAGATTACACCACAGAACTTCTGAAATGGTCTTTTAATCCAAGACGATTGTCAAATGACAGTGTTAGTGCTCCAATTCTTCCCATTATAAACCAATAAATCCTTGCATATATTAAAAAAAAAATTAAATTTGTATACTTGTTTCTAGTCTTCTAGAGTAAGTATATACGTCAACAGATTCTATTCCATGGTTATCAACGCAATTTTTCACTCGTTTCCCCATTGAAAAGGTATCACAGGATAATTAAAAAATTCAATCAATTATGCATCACAGTTTACCAACTGTTGATAAAATACAAAATTTACCATCTCATTCTGGTTCTGGAAGGGGCTTCCAGGTCTCCATTGCAGGCCAGGCATCACAGAAGAAGAAAAAACTCTCCCAGGGACAGCCACAGTCTCATTAACATTTACAGAGTCGAATGAGGCACTTCCATCATTACCCTTTGCAGCCTGAGGTAAGATTGTTCTGTTACTAAGGGGAGATGTAAGAGGTTGCACCATCGCAGCACTTCCAAGTCTATCATCAGCACCCAATATGTTTCTCTTTGTTATTTCAGATGCTGAAGGGACTGAACCAAGTGACCCAATGCTGGAAACAATGTTGCCTGAACCAAGAGGGATACTGGAGGATGCTTGATTTGCCAGGCTGTTTATGCTAACGTCCCTCACAAGCACAGCATCAGAAAGAGATGGAGATGGTCTCCGTCCAGGGAAGCTACTAATTTCTTCTTCCTTTGCAGAGCTAGACTGATTTACAGAAGATGAAGAATTCAAAGCAGTAGGATTCTCCAAGGTACTCCGAACAGAATTTGAACCAGGAAGAACTGATGCAATGGGTGGTACACTGGAGAAGTTATGAGTCGAAATATTCATAGAAATAAGAGCTGTTTGGTTCCCAGCTGGTGTTGAAGTAGCAGAATTAATTCCGACACTTTTAGAAGGTGGAGTTCTCGCACCAATATCAGAATTGCTATCCTGGGAAGCTGTATCATCAGCTTGCTCCTGACCAGAAGTATCTTGATTATTAGAAGTCAAAGTTATCTCAGACAAGAAACATCAATAATCTTCATCTTTTTAGGAATCATCTAACAATATGTGGCTTTGATTTTGTTGTTTTTGACTGGTTGCCTGATAATTCAGACACATGCACTCAGCAGTTCTACAATTATGATCCCATCACCCCCTATTATTCTTGACAGGGCAACATTGGATCAAAACATATTGGATAACAGGTAGAAAGCGTCAATTCAGAGCCAATTGAATAAAAGTAAAATGCATGAACAACATTTTATATGCTTCAAAAAATAAGAGTCAAGAATATGAAAATCAGTTACATAAACACACACGAAGTTCCCCACGTGTGAACAAAGTTTGTTAAACATCCTCGATAAAATAACATTTTAAGCATCAATCTCAAAGCAAAAAAATAACTTGATACATATAACAGACAAAACAAACCTTTAGAGTGTTAACAAATACTGACCATTAACTTCCCATTTCAACTTCAATTAGTTTTGCTATGACTTCAAATATGTCCATGCCATTCTTCAAGACAAAGCAAAACAGCCTCTATGACTCTCTTCAATTAAAAATGTGAATCCAAACACAAGTTTCATGTTGGTTTCGATATTCAACAAAACTCACCCCAAAACATACATTTTCAGATCCAGAAAGCAAGAAACACATACAGATGTCTGAGATGCTGATGTTGACGCTGGTGCTGATGCTACCGCAGAATTCTTTAAGCTAAGAGCAGTTGTGCCCTACCAATACCAAGATATCAACACCAAAAAAAAAAAAAGCCAGTTCAACATTGCATTCACCATGCTGCTAGAAAGGCATGCAACATGCAATATTCATATACCCCAATCCCATAATATAAATATACACCATTCCATGTCCACAAGATTTCCCACATTTGATATTCAACAAATCAAAGCATGAGCAAATACCTTAGCAATACCAGGGGGGCCAATTGTAACAAGATCTTCAAGAGACTCCACCTTATCCAGAGGTAATGAACTGTATAGCTGATCAACATCACTGAATTCATCAAAGTCCTCCTGTAGGGGGAAAAAAGAGTCAAGCAACAAAAGAATCGATAACCGTCAAAAAGTTTGTATACTATCAACCATAAACAACTCTCCATCTCAAGATTATATAAGAGGAGGATATCATCGTCTAACTAGTGTTCAAAAGACAGACCTGGTTACGCTCTACATAGTCTTCCAAGAAATCTTTGACATCATTAACCTGCTCAGCACTTAGCTCATCATTATCAAGTAGCCTCAAAAGCAATTCACATTTCTTTATGTGAGCCTTGTGCCGAGTAATTGATGTCTCTAGATGTGTCTGTAAACACAAAAAATAAGTGGATAGCCATAGGGAAGGTAAATCATCACTGCTATAACATGTGCTTTACTCCATACCAGTCTGGGTGGCCTATTCTTCCCTTTTTTGACAGAAATCCCTTCAACCTCAGCTTCAAAGTTATCAATCTGAGATTCCAATTCCCCAACCTACTCAAGTATTAAAATATAATAAGGATAATATGAAAAAAAAAATAGAAAAAATGTTTTCCAGAGGATGGTATAAGTATAAGAATATGTCTACATGATTTATATAAATATTATATAACATCATTTAATTTAAATAACATATGGTTACAGAGAAACCCTAATCAATCACCATGGAAACAGGCACTAGACCTGAATAAACAGAATTGGTACAGAAGCAAGCCTTAAGAACCAATGTTAGCCTGTGATGAAACCATCAACACTGGTATTATTTATATATAAGTACTAGTACTTCTTCCTCAAACAGATTGCAGAACAAGAAGGAAAAAACCAGTTCATTGCAATAAAAAACAAAGGATAAAGAATAAAGAAAACTCCTCTAGCATTTGAGAGACCAAGTCTCTCTCCTCGCACAATGCAATCTTGCCTCCTAAAGTCAGACCCCACACAGAGCTTAAATACCACAATGCCCTTGCTCTGTCCCAGCCAGCTGAAACACATGAGAAGTTAAGTATCCCTCCTAAAATAAACCTTTTGATATTTGGGCCAATCCCTTGTGCCCCTGTCAGTTTTCTATTAGTTGAAGGGTTTCAGCAGTCAACCATCTGTATGATTTTTCATACTGCAATAACCATAAAATATATGGCAAATAAAGCTGACTGTTTGCTGGAAAGAGCTCTGTTTAGTGTGTGTTAAAGCATACAAGCTACTAATGCAACAAATAATAGGCATAATTGAGATTATTCTTACCACATTGTTCAACCAATCCCTTGTCTCCGATTTAGCCTTCTCCTTAGGATCCTGTTAGAAAACATTGTGAAACGCAATTTTCAGCCCAAAGCCACAAAATAAGAGTTGTATACCAAATAGGAGGTAGGAGAAGTACTTCCAGAGGTCAAAGACTCACAGTTTTGGGCTGTTGGCCCAAGCCTTCTTTGGAGAAAGCTTTGGTCTTAGTCTCCTTCTCACAGATCTTAAATCTTTCCATTTCATGCTCAATGTGTTTGCGAGCATCCACCAGGGCCTGCTCATAAGAGGCACTGACCTATGTCAAGTAATGTCAAAAGAAACAAAGAGAAAAAGTCAATTCACAATCAAGGAGATAAAATTCAACGTTTAATATAAAAGCATATCAAACCACTCCATCACACTAGTCAGCCTGAGAGGCATTCTAGAATGACATTTCCAAAGTACCAAAAAAAAAACAAAGAAAGAAAGAAAGGAACTGGGAGAGATGCAAAAAGCTAAACAATAAATGGCATCACCTAATCAAAGGGGTTAATAATTATCCTGTCAGATCCATATATGCTAACTTAAAACATGCAAGTGGAAAAACTCCGTGCCATTAGGCCAAAGAGATCAATAGACAATATTCTCAACATTGGCAGATTATAGAGATTTAAAATTCAACGTTCCTAGAATGACTTTTTTTTTTTTTTTGGTTATTATTCCCAAGGCCAATTTCCAACTCCACTAAATTTACAGCTCAACTTACAAATTTAGCGAAATACATTAGGTCCATTGCTGAGTCATCGCTGGGAAACTTAACAGTGTCGACTGATAATATTATAAATGCAACGATGTGCATGGTGAATAAACGTTGATGAGGATATATTAATGCAGGTAGATATCTAGAATTTCTCATCTATTATGCCTTCCACATAATGGCTCTCTGGTTGATATGCAGAATAAGCTTATGTGAGAAGAAATTGATTGACCTTCTTATCCTTGATCTCACTAGACTGAATCCAGGTCTTAATCTGGTCTCTGTACCTCTGAAGCTTCTTAATCTCCTTCTTCAGGTCTGCCTCAAATTTCTCCTTCTGGTTAGCGTTGTCAGTATCGTAAACCTAACCAAAAAATCCAAAAACCAAACCAAACCAAAATGAGGTTACACATTCTAGTCCGAGACAATCGAAAGACAATAACGAAAGAAAAAGAATGAAGAACCTTAATCCAGATACTATCGAAGACTTCAACGCCTTCTTGAACCTTCTTCAGGACACGATCTATCTCACCCTGAAGTTTACGACTTGCACCCATTTGCCTAATTCAATTCGAAGGATCAATTATCCGTAGCCTTATCAATTCCAAGGTGCTCTGGTGGCCAAAAAGATTCCTGAGTGCTCGATGATAATTGATGCTCTAGGGTTTCACTACTTCGGCAAGATTTCACTGACTCTGGACAGTCATTTCGTCCTTCAAGTCAGATTTTGGGACGGAGGCAGGCACGATCATGGGAATTGGGAGGACGAAGTGCGAAGCCGGTGACGTGGAAATATAACCGTTTCTTGTTTTTCTTTTAACACCTAGCATCGCGCGCTCGCGCGTGCCATTTGTTAAAGTTTAAATTATACAGTGAATATTTCTCTGTTTAAAAATTTTTAAAATATAATTATTTATTTTTATTAATAATACTTTTATATTTATTATAAAGTATTTAATAAAAATAAATATAAAAAAATAGAATTAGTTAAAAAATAGATAATTATTTTATTAGAGGGTGACAATTAATTAAAAATATCTTACATTTTTAAACAGAGAAAATATTTATACTAAAAAAATTATTAAAATTTTATTTTAAAAATATAAATTATTTTTAAAATAATATTATTTTTTATATTTATTTTTATTTAATAAAATATTTATTTATTACAAGAACTTAAAAAAAACACATTAATTACATATTAAAATACTAAAAAAACCTAACATTTTTAAACATTCAATATTCAACCCCTAAAAAAATATCTTATATTTTTAAATGGGAAGTATATTTTAAATTATAAAAAGATAAAACACAAAATATAATTATAATTATAATTTATGTTATTAGAAATTATTTTTTAAAAAAATTAATTGATAGAAAATAAAAAATAAATTGGGTCAGATTGCTACAGTGCCAATACGACGCAAATTACAAAGGAGAAAAAGGTTTATTTATAACATGCTTGTGATTTAGGAAGTGAATGACCCTAAAATATTAAATATTATATATATCTAATGAAAAGTAGTTAATATCTAATACTAGTATTACTCAAAATTCATTTAGATGTTTGTATTTTTTTTTATTTCGGAGAATTCAAATTTTTAGGTTTTGCAGTTGATTAAATAAAAATTTGGATACGACCTGATTTTTTTTCTACTTTTTCATTTTTTATTATTAGAATATAAACGAAATTTTGAAGTATTGAAACTAAGTATGAGCTTTTGAAATTAAATTTGTATTCTATTAAGATGTATAATTGAGAATTTGAATCCTAAAAATTGAGAAGGCTGGTTACAAGTTTAGTCTATACCTTACTCCACAATAAAAGGACCTATTTTTTAATGGAATTTTTCTTTTTCTTTTCTTTTTTCTTTTTAAGTTTCCTGGATGACAGGATTATCATATAAACAAATATTAGAACTTATGCTTTTAAGTAAAAGACTAAGAAAATCAGGGCTTTACCTGATTAATTCAAAAATGAAAATAAACAGTTTTCATACAAAAAAGGGCATCCCATCTCTGACTTCCCGCAGGGAAAAGCCCTCAGTTAACATCCACTATCTTAATGACAGTACCAGATTCAACTCGATGCAATGCCACAACGGAGTCTCCAGGCTTGCACAGATGATGTCTCTTGGCATATTCGAGAGCAAATTCAATGGTTTCTTCTGTTGATTCAGTTTGTGAAGCTCCTGCAGATCCTGTACTCAAAACAGGCACCAACCCACGGTAAATAAGGCTATGTCTTGCCGGTGCTTCATCACTGCAAGACCATTCAAAAGAATCTGTAGCTATTATCTCAGGGACCACTGCAGACAGAATTGGCATGCCTGGTCTGTACTTGGATACTAGCTTAGCTGTGGTTCCTCCTCTGGTCAGAACTAATATCAGAGCTGCGTTTATGCAATTTGCAGTTCTTACCGCAGCAGAAGCCATACTCTCCAGAGGGCTCATTGGAGTTGGGGCGGTTTCCATTTTTCTCTTGAACAGTTCTCCATAGTTGATGAAATTCTCTGCTTCTACACAGATTTTAGCCATGGTTTGGACGGCGATTTCTGGGTATGCTCCTGCGGCTGTTTCGCCACTGAGCATCACGCAGTCAGTACCGTCTAGAACTGCATTGGCAACATCAGTTGCTTCAGCGCGTGTAGGCCTGGGAGACTTGACCATGGACTCTAGCATCTGAGTGGCTGTCACTACTGGCTTTCCTTGTAAGTTTGCCTTGTGGATCATTGCTTTCTGAGCAAGAAATATCTTCTCTGTTGGAATTTCCATCCCCAGGTCTCCCCTTGCCACCATGAATGCATCTGAATTCCCAAGTATTTCGTCGAAATTGACAATCCCTTCTTGATTTTCAACCTGTCACAGCGCAGAAAATTAAAACATAATCAGTACAAAAAGGATGGTGACTTTTCTCAAAGATGAAGTTTGACAACTCTGATGATACCTTGGACATGAGAAGGATTCTTTTAGCATGTTCCCCGAGTAGATTTCTGACCTCCAGAAGGTCCGAACCTTTGCGAACAAAAGAGAGAGCGATAATGTCAATGTTGTTAGGAATCCCCCACTTCAAAATGTCCTCCTTGTCCTTGTCTGTTAAGGTTGGAAGATCAACAACCACGCCAGGAAGATTAACGTTCTTCCTCTCACCCAGGACTGCAGAGTTTTCGCACCGACACCGAATCGTACCATTCTCAATTTCACATTCCAACACGGTGAAACTAATAGTCCCGTCAGCACACAAAACAGTACTTCCCGGTTCCAAATCATGAGCCAACTTTTTGTAGCTCATGCTGATCATATTCTCGTCCCCTTTTATGCTATAATCGGTCGTGACAGTGATCTCTTGCCCTCCTTGCAGCTGTACGGGCTTTCCATCCTTCAGAAACCCGGTTCGAATCTCCGGACCCTGTAATGGATCGAATTCCACTATATAAGATAAACAGAAAGCAATACAAGAAGCCGAAAGAAGAAAACACGGCTAGTGTAAAGTAGGATTAACCTTGGTATCCAACATAACGGCACAGAGGATGCCTGTGTTGTTCATGGCTGTTCTGAGATGATCAAGGGTCTCTTGGTGGTAAGAGTGAGAGCCATGAGAGAAGTTGAAGCGAGCCACGTTCATGCCTGCCTTTAGAAGCTTCTCCAACATGTCCACGGATCGACTTGATGGTCCCAACGTGCAAACTATCTTGGTCTTAGGCCTCACAGTGGTTCCCGCCATACCTCTTTTGAGTGCTATCTCCATCCCCTCGATGTGATATGTGTCTTTTCTCATAATGATCTTCGGACCCTGAAGCAATATATAGATAAATAAGTTCAGAAAAGGGTTCAGACTTGTATTAGCTTAGGACCCAAGCAAGAAGGGTACGCGCGCAGGAATAAGGCACAATGCGTCTCACATTACTGGCTAGTATTGCTAATGCTAACCAATGTCTTTTACTTTAACTAAAAGAACGATGCGAATGCGTTGGGCCACAGACAAAGGAATCGTGTAATTTACAAGTCTGAGAGCATTCAGCCAGCACAATACAGAATCAGCATATGACTATGTGTCATCTAAAGATGAATTACTTACGATGCAGAGAAGGGGCTCTTTTAGCGATGTCACAGTTGAAAAACAAAATTGATGGAAGATCGAATACTATATTATTCGCGTTATGCATTTGTCATTGAGTCTGCGGTATATTTATAGACACGGCTTAGTGATTGATAACTCTGTTGCTCCAAGTTTAATAAGGATATGATAGGATTATCTTATTGGACCATTCTCTGAATATCTAAATTCAATTCAAATATATATTGAAAATTTGAAATACTACTGTGACATATCTCAAGCTTTATCTTGATATAAAGATAGATAATTTAATAAAATGTAACAAACAAAAATATTATTTAAACATAGCATATTCTTTCTTTTATTACAGGATACTGGTCAAATTTTTCTATATTTATATAACCAACAAATCCTACTCCCCAAAGAGCATTTTCATGGTCGTCTTTTTTAATTTTCTTTATAATCTAAATTCCTTTTTTCAGCCATATCAATATTTTGGCATCCTCTCCCCAATAAAAACAACCCGGTTGGTTGTTAAAAAAAAAAGTTTAATAAATCTAAATATAAACTATGTATATTCAACTCAAATAAATTTGAGTTTTATCTTTTTATAATTATTTTCGAATAACCTCCAAGAGCATTTTCATGATTTCATCTTTTTAAAATTGTTTCTATGACCTAAAAATTATTTAAAAAATCTAATGATGTGGATATCTAGTTATCTACTTCCTGTTACTCATTTCACTAAAAAGACGAAGAATGTTTGGTTTACACGTCCAAGAATCAACAGCTCTAAAACAAATTGAAAAAGCTACAGATTAGTTTACAACCTAAAAGGCTAAAACCATGAAATATCTAAAAATAAATAATAAAATATTTATTTTTGACACACTTTTAGAAACATAATAAGAAACTTACTTTCTAGGAAAATGTAGTCTTTTATTTAAAAAAATGATAAAAATATATCTTTTTTGGTCAATAAAATGATAAAAATATATCAGGAATATAAAGATTAATATCACAATATTAATAGAATTTTATTTTTAAAAAAATTTCTCACCATTTTGAAATATGAACTCAAAATTTAGAAGTATTAGATAGGATGCATTTAAAAAATTAAATATTTTTAATTAAAAACAATACTATACATACATACATATATATATATATATATATATCCTAAAATATTGATAGGCATTAATATAATTTAAAGTATCAATGCTTCATAAAAAAGGACATCCACACTGGCACCCACAAATCAGGATAAGGTTTTTTAAAAAATAAAGTAGACCTTTGTTTTAAATTCTTCCTCCCTCCATTAAAAAAAAATGTAAGACATTTTTAATCGAATCTCACCCTAATAAAGTAATTACCTACTTTCAAACTAATCCTATCTTTTTATATTTACCTCTATTAAATACCTATATAAATATGAAGTCATTCATCAGTAGGGACACTTTTTTAAAAAAGGTAATGAATTACATCTGGAAAGATTAAAAATATCTTATATTTTTTAACATCCAGCTCTTAAAAAAAATTTGAACAAAGGGAATAATTTTTTATGATTTTCAAATCTATTTCAATTCAGTTTTGAAAACTTATATCAAAATATTATTCATAAAAATTTCTAAGGATATTTAAATTTTAAAATAATTTGTTTAAATTTTTTATCAGCAAGAATTGTTTAAATCAATGGAATATATTTGACGTAAAATTTTAAAAATAACCCACATTAATTTAAAATATAAAATTTATAACAAATTGAATTGTTCAGATTCCATGCACATTATATAAAGAGTCCATCTAATTGAATAATTAAAACAGAATGAGAATTGAGAAGCAACCAGTAAAGGCAATTCTACAAGGAGGCTATCATAGAAACTAGCATGTGTCCCGTGTTTCTTGGGCCAAAAATAATTCGACAATTTCAGCATTATTATTAAAGATATAAGTTAAATTACAAACTTGCATTATTATTAAAAAAATCATTTCTAAATTAAAGTAATTGGTTTTTTAATAGTACTGACAGGTTAAATATAATAATGATTTAAAAGTTCCCATGTAACTTCCTATCCATGGAGTGGATTTAAAAACTAAATCAATTTTTATAAAATAGATTTAAATTATAAATAATATATCCACATTGCACAATTAAATTATATTAATTAAAATTAATTTTATAAACTGGATTTGATGGTGAAAAAGTTATGATGCTCGTAATTTTTTTAAAAAATTCAATATTAAAATTTGCAGTAATGAATAATAAGTTGAGAAAATATGATAATTAGCATGGTACCCATGGTGGGGTACTTTGGTACATTAAAGTAATATAATATTGGAATATTAACTAATAAGGATAACAAAATATTTACATAAAGTAAATAGAAATATTAACTAATAAGATTATTAATAATCAATGTTATTGAAGTTTCTTTGAAATCATAGTTTATTATTTTTATTGCGCAGCTAATATTTGTGTAAAGGGTGTACCTTAGTGATTTCTTGCACTTCATCCAAATATCCCATGCTTTCTATATATGAATATTAATAGTTTGTATCTTCTCTTCATCTTAGGGATGTAATAAATGAACAGTTTATAATTTTTTTATAACATTCGATCCATGAAAAATTAACATTACACAGTAAAATAAAAATTATAATTGGATGCCATTTTTTCTATGAAATCGTGTTTGGGGTGGATGGATTTACAAAGCATTATATATTTTATTTATTATTAAATATGACATTAAAAAATAAAGATATTAATACATTAAGTATTGAAAACTTGATTTCCAACTGAAATATCAATATTTTCAAATCTTGCCTGCTCCATAGTCATAAAAGATTTAACAATAAATCATTATTAGAGCAAATTTAGAATGGTTTTGAAAATAACTTCACAAAAAGATGTTCTAGATGTACAAATTGGGGGGCATTATTCAATGGATTTGAAGAAGCCTTGAGCCCTTGACTTTGATATGAGTAAGATAAAGAGACTAAAAAAAATCTTCATCTTGCAAATTCAAGAAAGTTAAATATACCTATGAAGCTATAAAATTCATGAACAAATCATTATATGACAAATTGAAAAATCTCCCTCTTTTCAAGGTCAAAGAAAAATTAAATGGAAATATAATCAGAATAAACAAAAGGTAGGAAAAAGTAATGGGAAAATCATAGCCAAGAACCCCCTGAAGAAACATATTCACAATTGAGAATCAATTGATTTTGAATTTACACTGCAGTCTCAAGGTCCTAATTATAATTAATTTTGAGTGGGAAAATTTGACAATTCCTCTCTAATGGAAATGAAATGAAGCATGGAACTCAAGAGAATAAGCTACTGTTTGCACGAAAACATTCGAAGGTTTATCTAGTGCGAGTTAGTAAGCTGAAAATTGTAGATTCCTTCCTCCATCCCTACCTTCCTTAGTGAACTGGTTTTGCATTCTTTCTTCTAGCTAACTTGTATTTGGTTCTATTTTTTGGGTATCATAAGCTTGTCATCAAATTACTTCATGAGATAGGCAACTAAATCCAAAATCTATGGTGTTATCAAGGTAAATGATCTAGCCTTAACCAATATTAGCTTTGACATTCTTGATTGCATTATATACTTTTATGCCACTAAAGAAACATGTTTGATGTGGGAACAAAATAGTTAGGGGTTTGACATATATAGTTAGTAATAATAGGTGCATAATAATAGGTTCAGTAGCATTAACCTGCCTCATTTAATGTGGGTCTGTCTTGGCAGTAACAACAACACTCTATTTTGATGTGGAATGTTGTGTCTTCAATACAACAATATATTGTTGTTAAAATGGAGAGTGTATTTATTATTTTATGATTTAATTATATTTTTCTTTTCAATATGTTGTGATAGCTTGGGAAGGAAAGTCTAGATGTAATAAACTATTTTTTAGTAAAATTGTAATGATATATGTTGATATTAGAATTGTAGTTGTATTAGAAAATAGAATAAAATTTAGTTGAAATCTAAAACTATTGAACTTTGTATTGTTAAAATAGTAATAATATATTGTTGATATTGCAACTGCAATTATAAACTTAAAAATAAAGTAAAACTTGTTTGAAATGATTACAGGGTAACATGATAGATGGTAAGAAATAGTGAAAAGAAATTATTTTATTTCATCCATTATGGGAGAGTTTATGAGAGGATAAGTGAAAGCAATGTTAAATATGATGGAAGGAATGTAATTGCTAGAATAATAATAGAAGATATGACATATGATGAATTTAGAATATTGATATTAGCTGAAGTGTGTCTTGAAATTAAAGAGATAGATCTAAAGTTTATAGTCAATATTGAAACTTCCCAAATCACAATAATGGACCTTGTAAATGATGCTGGAGTTGCACAACTTATTGAGTTCAATGGCAACAATGGTCATGTTTATGTTAGTATAAGGGGAAATGATATTACACATTCATCACTAAATGATTACCCTCAAGAGTAAGTAATAAAAGTCAATTTTGAAAATCAACGTCACTGTTTTAAACCTCTTGACATTTAATATTGAGTTTTAATTTTTCGAATGCATCATAGATAATGTCTAAGGAATTTATGAAGCACCCTTTACTAGTGAAACTGAATGAAAATTTGGTATGTTAAGCTTATCATCTCCCTTTCAAACCTTGACAACATCCTCTGTTGAGCAAAGTCTAGCTACGAAAAGTATTCCAGCTTCAATACCAGAGCTGAATGCAACAAAATGGAGGAATTTACTTATTGGTATGAGACAGGCATTCCCTGATGCAA